TAAATGCAAAGGAATTATTGCCAACTTATTTCCATTTTCTTGTTGTTGAATGTTGAAGAATCCTTAATATTCATTTGAAATTGTTGCTATTTCAGTGACTATCATTTATTTGTGTCTTCTAGATGTTTTAAAGTTTCTATGCACAATGTGCATGATCCAAGTCTCAGACCTTTGTATCGGGAGTGAGAGTGTGAGTTAAACATAAAATATATCTTTGTAGGGGATCAAACTCCTGGCCTGTGGCTTGATTAGGAAACACTGAACCACAATGCATCCTAACTGCTTCTCACTGTATGTACAGCTCTTCACAGGAATTTGAGCAACAGACCCACCATCAAAGATTTGAGTGGCCTTGGGAATTTTTCTTGAGACTAGTCACTGCTTCAGTGAAATGAGAAGCCGAACCATTTAACTTGTTTTCACAGGACATCGAGCAGTCAGTGAGGGAGTGAGTGAGGGAGTGAGTGAGTATGGTTTAACGCCGCTTTTATCAATATTCCAGCAATATCACGGTGGGGGACACCAGAAATGGGCTTCACACATTGTACCCATGTCAGGAATCGAACCCGGGTCTTTGGTGTGACGAGTGAACACTTTAACAACAAGGCTACCCGACCACCCCCATCAAGCAGTGTGAAGGGGGAGGTGTTGGAAGGTTGACGACAAAATATTTCCCCCACTTTATTCTATCAGAAACATGAATATCAAATAGTTTGTTCCAAATATACTTTCATGATTTCATTATTAACTAAACCAAACAGAATGTTAAACATGTTAACACTGGTTAAAACCTTAAACATTTTCAGAACTGATTTTGGTAGTTTCAGTACTCACATGTAGGCCTTTGGGATGTACATCTCTTCATTATTTGAAGTTGCGGAGTAATGGACCCATCATTTAATATTCTGAGATAGGGGGATAGATGTACCTGAAATACCTTCATGATTTGGGGTGGTGGGGTAGCCTAGTAGTTAAAATGTTCATGTGTCATGCTGAAGGCCCATGGCTCGCTCACTCACTCACTCACTCACTCACTCACTCACACTCACTCACACTCACTCACTCACTCACTCACTCACTCACTCACTCACCGACTCACCGACTCACCGACTCACTCACTCACATGATATGGGAACACTGTGAGGTAGTGGTTAAAGCAGGTTCAATGACTAAGGTTTGAGTTTCCCAACAGGTCTACAAGTTAAGCTCTGTTATGGCATCCCCTGCTGTGACAAGGCTAGAATATTGACGAAAGAAGCATGAAAAACATTCTCACTCACTCACTCACTCACTCACTCACTCACTCACTCACTCACTCACCCACTGACTCAGTAAACTCATTATTCCCAATAACAACTTTACCAAACAAGATGTGGGATTATTTCGAAAATGGAATTTTTTCAAGATTATGTTTAAAAAAATTAATTTGGCCCCTGGTTGTTTGACCAAGGTTACAACATTCAAGGTCTCACTAAAGCTTTCAAAACGTTTTCTGGTAGACATGTGGAGGACAGATGAACAATTGACTTGCCTATGTATGTGTTTGTGATAGGTGCCACTGGTGGGGCAGGATATGCTCACCTTTTCGCAAACACCTGGTATCATCACTATTTAATAGTGGTTCATTATCAAATGCTCATCATGAGGTCGGAATCGTACAATTGACTCTGCTTTTAGCAAAGATTTTATATCAATATGTAAAGGGTTTTTGTAGCTTTTATTTTCAAATATAAACAACTTTTCCCACTGGTCATGCTGGTTATGTCCCCCCTCCCCTCCAAACTGTATAGGGGGCCACGCCAGCAACCTATGATTGTGGCTTCGAATCCCAGTTCGCTCCAATTACGTTTCAATGTTTGTTAGCACCATACCCGTGCTCGTGGGTTTCACCGAAGTGGTAAAAGTGCATCACTTCAGGCTTTCCTCCGACATAAAGCTGACACGCCGTGATATAACTCGAAAAAAGGAGCGTCAAACCCAACTCACTCTCACTCTCACTCACTCAAACTGTATGGTTTCTCCATTCAGAAAAACAAGTTGTAGGTCTTGAAGCAGTGACAAAAATACTGTTTACAACACAACAAAAACACTGTCTACAACACAACAAAAACACTGTCTCCAACACAACAAAAACACTGTCTCCAACACAACAAAAACACTGTCTCCAACACAACAAAAACACTGTCTCCAACACAACAAAAACACTGTCTCCAACACAACAAAAATACTGTCTTCAACACACCGTCCCCTACACACAGTCCCCTTCTTTCTCACACCAAATCAACACCCGGTGGTTAGTGCGGAAACAATATCACATCTCCTACTTACAGGTCTTTGGTTTCAGCTAAACGAGGACACACATACCTTCAATTTCTAGTTTGACCATCATCCCGAGAATCTAGTCCTTCTGTGGACAAGAGCTCAAATTATAAATTGTAAATACTGTAATATTTTTCAGAACTGACACAGGTTTTATGATGGAAATATATAGATATAAACTATATATAAAAATAAATCACGACACGAGTGTAGTGGTATGTGTTTTATTGCTTTAGTAGTGACATGGTTAATATTTTATTGGCATGTATTTTTTATATTTGTATGTTAAGTTATTTTATGTTCTTATTGTTAATAGTTGCCAGTTGGTACACAATCTTGTAACAATCGCTTAAAGATGAATGCTGTAAGACATGATTGAATAAAATAACCACTGACGGTCATGTCTCTTTTTACTTGTATGCCTGGACATGAATAGGTTGTTGTTGTTGTTTGTTGTTTAGCGCTGCACTCAGCAACATTCATGCTATATGATGGCGTGCTATAAATAATCGAGTCTCGACCTGACAATCCAGTGATTGACATTATGAGCATCGATCCATGTAATTGGGATACGATGACACACATCAACCAAGTTAGGGAGCATGACCACCCGATCCGTTAGTCGCCTCTTGCGACAAGCATATAGTATAGGCAGCCATAAACACACACAGGTGTGCATACACGTCACTATGTAAGTGCAATAAGCTTGGAGGCTTCGTGAAACCCATTTCACCTCAACTCACCTGGGCACATCTTTAGCCATTGTCTTTGCTCATGGCTCTGTTGATCGTTCTACTGCCACCTGGGAGGACCAGTGATGTACGTCCCAATGAGCACAGTTTAAAGGCAACAGCCATGCAGTTAGATATTGCATTCGCCCACCTACTTTACATCAGTATAAGTGTTGAAGGTACGGTTGTATGAACCACATCCGTGGTGATTCTCGGTAAGGGTAGAGGCCCCCAACAACCTCTGCTGGTCCTAAGAGGTGACTAATGAATCGGGGGGGCCAGGTGGACTTGTATGATAGCATGTCACCGTATCCCACTTGCGTGGATGGATGCTCATGATGTCAATCACTGGACTGCTTGGTCCAAACTCGATTTTTTACAGACCGCTGTTATAACACTGGTATGTTAAGGAGTGCCACGTTACACAACAAACAAACAAATCGCATGAACCAAATTTGGATATGTTGTATCATTATGAGTGAAATTCTTATAACATTGAAAGTCAACGATGTTCTGTCTACGTTCCAGCAGTGTGTAAAATAATGAATGTGAAATAGGCAACTCATAACTGTTACGATGGGCAACATGGTCACGCCATTAGTCAGCCAACACTGTTACCATGATAACTATCTGATGCCTGTTCAAGTCTTCTATGGGACCGCCTCCACGGTGTACCGCCTCAGTGGTCTAGTGGTAGAGCGTCCGCCCGGAGAGCGGAAGGTCCGGGGTTCGATCCCCGGCCGCGTCATACCAAAAGACGTTAAAAGATGGTACTTGTTGTTACCATGTCTTGCGCTCGGCATTAAGGAGCTAAAACAACTGGTCGGCTCGGAATCAGTATACTGTGTCTGAGTGGGGTATTCATGTTAAACTGCGGCATGGTATCTCAGTGGGCTAGCACTATAAATCGGCATCAGTCCGGTCTAGTACAAGCAGCCACACAAACACACACACGTACATGCACGTCGCTATATAAGTGCAATAATCTTGGACGCGACGTTAAACTCAATTTCACCTCACCTCACCTCACCTCCATGGTGTTGTGGATAGAGCGTCTGCCCGGAGAGCGGAAGGTCGGTGGTTCGATCCCGGCCGCGTCATTCCAAAAGACGTTAAAAGATGGCACTGGTATGTTACCCTGCCTGGAGCTCGGCATTTAGGGGCTATAACAAGGACTGGACGGCTCGGAGTCAGTATACTGTTCTTGAGTGGGGTATTCATGTTAAACTGAGGTATGATATCTCATTGGGTAGCACTTTAAAATCGGCATGAGTCCAGACGCGTTCAAGCAAGCACGCACGTGCACGTCGCAAAAGAGGTGCAACACTCTTGAAGCGACGTTAAACACTATTGCACATAACATCACCTTAAGTGTCCCATTTGACAAGGGTGCACCGGGGGGCACCGTGAATAAGATATTTTCTAATTATGTGCAATGGTATTGATAATAAGGTGCCGGTTGTGGTTGTAATAGAAAAGACATAACTGCAACACATGAGCCGGAGCTTTCATATATTATTATGTTGTGGCTACATTATACACAAGTAATACGCTTAATAGTTACGCCATATTGAACACACAGTGACAATATCCTCACAGCGAGTTGGCAAGCCACAAGGGCTTTCTTTAAAGCTTATTGCTTTAAATGCCTGCGCATGCTCAAGGTCCACTTTGAATAGTTGCATTACATATAGATCTTCACACATTTTAATCTACACTGATAGATATATATATAAAATTCAGCACGGTTTACCATATATGTCCGTATAAAGTGTGAGTGAGTACGGTTTTACCCCGCTTTTAGCAATATTCCAGCAATATCACGGCGGGGGAAACCAGAAATGGATTTCACATATGGTACCCATGTGGGGATTCGAGCCCAGATCTTGGATGTGATGACCGAACGCTTTAACCACTCGGCCACCCCACCGCCTCCTATATTAAGAACCATTTATGCTTTTTTTTATTCTCTTTCTGACGAATAACACGAGCAAAGTAGCATATTCATATTGAATTACAGGACGAAATTGATAATGCATGACATGTCTAGCATCTGTTCAATGGCACTAGTTGTTTGACTACCCTTTCAGCCGCCTCCTCTGCATCTCTGCGTTATATCACATGACTCAGTACTTGCGGCCATATGGAAAACCTACAGTGTCTTTGTGTCAAAGGTGATGTCACAGGCATTATCAGACTGACACCTACGTCATATTTGTGATCAAAGAAGATACAAAAAATGGGGGATTTTGTAGTATTATTCGAACTGTCGCCGATAGAGTTTGATTCGGTGGTGGCTAACCTCTTTCAACATTGATCCTCTAGACAGAGATTAACACAATGAATTTCAGGAACGGCAAACATCGAGTGAGGACAGCTATGTGTTTGTTGAAGCAGCTCCTTGTCGAATAGTCACGTGAGCACTACTGTTATTAGTTTTGGCGACTCCTGGGTTCATATTTGCCTCGTCACATGACGCATAGTGAGTGAGTGAGTTGGGCTTAACGCTTTTAACAGTATTCCAGTTATATCACGGCGTGTCAGCTTAATGTGGGAGGAAAGCCCGAAGTGATTGTGTCAAAGGTGATGTCACAGGCATTATCAGACTGACACCTACGTCATATTTGTGATCAAAGAAGATACAAAAAATGCATGCACGTTCGGGGTAAAGAACGGAGTATCCTTATAGTTTCAGAAGCTGGTAGAACATAATTCTGCGGTTGTCACGGTACATGTGCTTGAAAGTGTATACCTTCCTTTGTAGGTCTCTAAGTCTTGTGATTTTGCATGTATCAGGGCTACAATTATTATCAGTTAGTGATTACATCGAACATGGCTTAACCACATCCTGGTTCGTTGTTATTTAAGCTTATGAAGCTGTTCAATTAACTGACGGACCCAGAGGGTGCTTTTGGGTTGGGGGGTGGGGAGGGTGAACACCCCCTTGTATCAGACACTTTACATGTCAACTGGGCAATCGGCCATGTCTTTGGTATTATGTGCACCTTTTCCAAAATCCTTGATCCGCTTCTGAAAATTGTCGTTGATAATCCATGCGACACAAGTTAGTTCTACTGAAGCTGTCATGTTGGAATTGATTCTGAAACGCTTGCTTCCATTGGGATCTGTTTGTCTGTTTATTAATACAGAAATCGCGTTTGTATGGAATATTATCCCAAAGCGTTCAGGTATATCGAGAACACACAAAGTAAACATACACGGCACAAAACACACAAACGGGTCCAACGCCAAATCCAGTAATTTGTTTTCAATTTCTTGTTGGTGGGAACTTTCATTGACACGAGATAGCTTCAACATTCCACACAAGCAGTGACAAGCCAGCCCATGAACCAGCACTGGACGGAAGTAGCAGACCATGAAAGAGGCCCAGATTTGATTAAGCTTCAAGTGTCTTCCATATCACCTGGTAAATGTGTCTGAGAATGCCAATCCTACTTCTTAAGCTTGTAGCTCACTGAGGGATTTTGTAGTATTATTCGAACTGTCGCCGATAGAGTTTGATTCGGTGGTGGCTAACCTCTTTCAACATTGATCCCCTAGACAGAGATTAACACAATGAATTTCATGAACGGCAAACATCGAGTGTGGACAGCCATGTGTTTGTTGAAGCAGCTCCTTGTCGAATAGTCACGTGAGCACTACTGTTAATAGTTTTGGCGACTCCTGGGTTCATATTTGCCTCGTCACATGACGCATAGTGAGTGAGTGAGTGAGTTGGGCTTAACACTTTTAACAGTATTCCAGTTATATCACGGCGTGTCAGCTTAATGTGGGAGGAAAGCGCGAAGTGATGTAGGTCTCAGACGTTTACCATTTCGGTGAAACCCACAAGCACGGGTATGGTGCTTACAAATCTAGAGACATAATCTAGAACCCATAATCATAGGTTTCTTGCGTGCCCAAGGGACGCAACTCGGCACAGCGAATCGCGGCGCCTTGACGACTGGGCCACCCGTGCCCCCTACATGACGCATAACAAGTCCTCCGGCTTGTATAGGTTCAAGCCGTACAACCGTACAATCTGCAATGAATGGTAACACGTTCATAGTGCTTCACATAACTGGTGGTATGGTATGGGGAACGCCTCACCAATTGCGAACATCTTTACGAATAGGATAGAAAGAACGTCTTAAATTCGTGTTTAATAGTTGGTTGAGTCCATTTCATTACAGATAGTGAGTGAGTGAGTTGGGTTTAACGCCGATTTTAACAGTATTACAGTTATACCGCGGCGTGTCAGCTTAATGTGGTAGGAAAGCCCAAAGTGATGCAGGTCTCAGACGTTTCCCACTTCGCGCGGGTATGGTGCTGACTCACCTAGAAACATAATCGGGGCCAACTAGGATTCGAATCATTACAAATAAGTAAAGTCATAATGTTGATACTATATACATCGTTGTCACCTTGCTTCTATACATGCACTCAGTTGACTGACTAAACTGTATGCACGCACTCTCCACCCCGTGATGCATGGCTGCTGGGGTCATGTGTTAGGTATCATTAACTACACTTGGGTGCTCACTACATACACACCTGAGCCATGACCGATTCAATAACCCAGGGCTACCACAATGCATCCTTTAGTGTGCAGTGACGAGGCAAATGGAGGCTCTTAGGTGTTGGGTGCCTGCGAAAGGTAGGTCTGTATATAGGACAGGCAGACTCTGCCCTTCCCTCATCACGTCAATATCTTCAGAGTTATAGTAGGCAATATATACACTGCCATCATGGACAAGCAAGTCTGACGGCTCTTTTCCTGTTATGTGAGCGACCCGGTAGGGCTTCAGACGACGCCTGGTGACATCCTTTGCCATTAGTGACGTGAAATTATTAAAGTATAGAATCTTTGTATTTGGGTTCACACCAAGACCATGAATAAAACTTCTTTCAATTTCAACCAGAGTTCTTGTCTTGCCATTGTCGTAATTTATCTGGAAGATCTTTGTGTAGCTCACTACAACGTATATCTTCTTGGAGGTAAAATCTAAGGCAAGTCTCATTGGGTTCCCTCCGCTGATCTTTGTAATTCTTTTCATGGAGCGAGACGAGTCACTTCCCGTATCGATATCCATTGCGAAAACTTCACGTGACCAGTAATTGGAGCAGATGACGACTCTTCTTGCCGCATCCACTTCTAGCCCATAGGACAATGTGTTTGACTTGAGAAGGACGGGTTCCTGCTTCTTCGTACTATAGGAATATATGGCGTCTATTCTCCAATCTGACCAGTAGATCTTCTTTCCGACAGGGTCATATGAAACATCGCCCACATACTTTCCTAAAGAATGGCTGAAGGTGCTAAGTGAACCAGACGTCAAATCCACCGTAAACACATCACTGTAGTTTTGTTTGGCAACCAATAGACTATCTTTTTCTGATTGGTTAAGTGTAGGTCTTGGTCTCAGTGGTGGTAATGGTCTGAGTCTAGTTGAGATCAGAGTCTCTTCATTGTCACCACCAGGGTTTTGTTCTACATTTCCCAGAATGTTAAAGCTTGGTATAACAGTTGGAATCTTTCTTACATATTTCACTTTGGTTCCTCCTTGAGACGACACATCTGGGGTCTTCTGTAACACAATGTTTGTACTTTCTGAGCGAGGTTTGGTCGGGGTATTGTCTGTTTTGCCCCGAGTTGCTCTCTGATTCATTTCCATCTGTTTCTGGAGACCATTTAGTTTCCTCTCTATCTGACGGACCTTTCTTGATAGACTGAGGTAGCTTTTTCTGTGTAATTCAAAATTCTTCTTCAACCTGTCTGAATCTTCCTGAACCTTATCAGTCATCGTCGTCACATATTGTTTCATTTCTCTGTCGTTTCTGGTTGTGTCTTGACTTTTCGATTTCTTCCCCAAGTCTTTCAGTTCCATTTCTGTCAACCTCAATTTCTGATTCAGTGTTTCAATATCTCTCCCAACTTCTTCTATAATTTCATCTTTAAGGGCATCACCCACAATAACTCCCCTTCTAGGATAGTTATTCATCTCGTTTTTAACATCTCTCATTATTTCATCTCTAACATCATCATGAATACCACCTTCCCGGTGAACTTTCGCTACTTCAATTCTCACTTCTTTCATCATGTCCTCTTTAGTCACATCTGTTATCCCTTTCCGATTAGATTTCTCAAGTTCACGTTTTACCTCCTTCATGATATCCTGTTTCAGAATCCTCCTCTGGTAAGGAGTCAGTTTCGTCTGTACCTTAATCACCCCTGATTGCACTTTTTTAATAACTTCCTTTGATAACGATTCCTGCAAATCACCAACCATTCTTGATTGCATTTCATTTTTCATCTCCTGTCTCAGCTCTTTGGCCAATTCCTCCTTCAGGGAACTTCTTAGGAAACCAGCCAGACCTTTATTAATTTCATTCTGGATTTGCTCTTGGACTGTAACCAGCAGGTCTTCCTGAAGTGTGTTTCTCAAAGAACCATCAACCAATTTCCTGACTTCTCGCTGTATTTGTTGCTTAATGTCCCTGTTGAAGTCAGCCCTTGCTGGTTGACTGGGTTGCGACTGAAGAGCATTCTTGATTTGTTTTCGAACTTCTACCAGTATATCGTCACGAAGGTTGTTCCTCACTGGACCATCCATCCTTTGCTGAACCTCTCGCTGTATTTCCTGCCTTATGTTTCTACTAATATCAACTGTTACTGGTTGTCTGGGGCGAGACAGAAGACCCTTTTGCATTTGCTGTCTCACTTCACCCAGCAGGTCTTCGCGAAGGGTGTTCCTCAAAGATCCATCCACTCTTTTCTGAACCTCTCGTTGTATTTCTTGCTTTACTTCTCTATTGATGTCAACACTGATTGGTTGTCTAGGCCGAGACTGATAAGTGTTCTGGATTTGCGTTCTCACTTCACCCATCAGGTCTTCACGGAGGCCGTTTCTCAATGAACCATCCACTCTTTTCTGAACCTCTCGTTGTATTTCTTGCTTTACTTCTCTATTGATGTCAACACTGATTGGTTGTCTAGGCCGAGACTGATAAGTGTTCTGGATTTGCGTTCTCACTTCACCCATCAGGTCTTCACGGAGGTCGTTTCTCAATGAACCATCCACTCTTTTCTGAACCTCTCGTTGTATTTCCTGCTTTACTTCTCTATTGATGTCAACACTGATTGGTTGTCTAGGCCGAGACTGATAAGTGTTCTGGATTTGCGTTCTCAAAGCTCCCATCAGGTCTTCACGGAGGTCGTTTCTCAATGAACCATCCACTCTCTTCTGAACCTCTCGTTGTATTTCCTGCTTTACTTCTCTGTTGATGTCAACACTGATTGGTTGTCTAGGCCGAGACTGATAAGTGTTCTGGATTTGCGTTCTCACTTCACCCATCAGGTCTTCACGGAGGTCGTTTCTCAATGAACCATCCACTCTTTTCTGAACCTCTCGTTGTATTTCCTGCTTTACTTCTCTATTGATGTCAACACTGATTGGTTGTCTAGGCCGAGACTGATAAGTGTTCTGGATTTGCGTTCTCAAAGCTCCCATCAGGTCTTCACGGAGGTCGTTTCTCAATGAACCATCCACTCTTTTCTGAACCTCTCGTTGTATTTCTTGCTTTACTTCTCTGTTGATGTCAACACTGATTGGTTGTCTAGGCCGAGACTGATAAGTGTTCTGGATTTGCGTTCTCAAAGCTCCCATCAGGTCTTCACGGAGGTCGTTTCTCAATGAACCATCCACTCTTTTCTGAACCTCTCGTTGTATTTCCTGCTTTACCTCTCTGTTGATGTCAACCGACACTGGTTGTCTTGGTCTAGATAGAAAAGCATTCTGTATTTCCTGTCTTACATCTGTAAGTAGTTCCTGTTTTAAAGAGATCCTAGCCTGAGGGAGAAACTGAGCCTGCACCTCGGCCAGGATGTCACCCTTGAGACTCATCTGCTCTCTCTGAAGGTTCTCCATGGATGTAGAAAGCATATTTCTCAGTAGCTGGAACTGCTTGGAATGAGCACACACCGATGGGAGGATGCACGTCACCACCAACAGTACTTGCCACGCTGCCATTGTGCTGAAATGACAATAGCAATCATAGAAGTCCAATCATTTATTCATGATAAACAGTGTGCCCTCGTTTGTCCGTACAATTAAATTTCCGAAAAGGAAACGTTTTGTTTCAGTATAAATAGGTATGGTATGTATTCCCAACAATATTCTCCCGGTAAATTAGAAACTAAGCCACAAATCACATTTCCATAATAATGAAAAAACATTCTATTGTCCACTGTAAGATTCCGACA